CTGCGTCCTTACTCAGTATGAGTTCACGATCTGGTCATGTTTATTGACAATAGAAAAAGTCAAAGCAGTCTGTCCATTATTATCTTGAAGATTAATATCTGGATCTTTACTCAGTAAGAGTTTGACAACCTGTTGATGTCCACTGCCGCTAGCAACTGTGAAAGCAGTCCATCCATCATTATTTTGAATGTTAATATCTGGATCTTTACTCAGTAATAGTTCAACAACCTGGTGATGTCCATTGATACTAGCAATCATCAAAGCAGTTGATCCATTAATACTTTGAATATTAATATCTGGATCTTTACTCAGTAAGAGTTTAACAACCTGGTGATGCCCATAGCGACTAGCAAACATCAAAGCAGTCTCTCCAAAGTTATCTTGAATGTTAATATCTGCATCCTTACTTAGTAAGAGTTCAACAATCTGGTGATGTTTATTGACAATAGAAAACATCAAAGCAGTCCGTCCATTATTACTTTGAATGTTAATATCTGGATCTTTACTCAGTAAGAGTTTGACAACCTGTTGATGTCCACTGCCACTAGCAACTGTTAAAGCAGTCCATCCATCATTATTTTGAATGTTAATATCTGGATCTTTACTCAGTAATAGTTCAACAACCTGGTGATGTCCATTGATACTAGCAATCATCAAAGCAGTTGATCCATTAATACTTTGAATATTAATATCTGGATCTTTACTCAGTAAGAGTTTAACAACCTGGTGATGTCCATTGTCACTAGCAACCATCAAAGCAGTCAATCCATTATTATTTTGAATGTTAATATCTGGATCTTTACTCAGTAGTAGTTCAACAACCTGGTGATGTCCATTGTCACTGGCAACCATCAAAGCAGTCAATCCATTATTATTTTGAATGTTAATATCTGGATCTTTACTCAGTAGTAGTTCAACAACCTGGTAATGTCCATTGTCACTAGCAACCATCAAAGCAGTCAATCCATTATTATTTTGAATGTTAATTTCTGGATCTTTACTCAGTAGTAGTTCAACAACCTGGTGATGTCCATTGTCACTGGCAACCATCAAAGCAGTCGCTCCATTATTACTTTGAATGTTAATATCTAAATCCCTAGTACTGAGTAAGAGTTTAACAATTTGGTAATAATTAAAGTGACTAGCAACTATCAAAGCAGTCACTCCATTATTACTTTGAATGTTAATATCTGGATCTTTACTCAGTAAGAGTTCAACAACCTGGTGATGTCCATTGCCACTAGCAGTCATCAAAGCAGTCACTCCATTATTACTTTGAATGTTAATATCTGGATCTTTACTCAGTAAGAGTTCAACAACCTGGTGATGTCCATTGCCACTAGCAGCCATCAAAGCAGTCACTCCATTTTTATCTTGAATGTTAATATCAGGATCTTTACTCAGTAACAGTTCAACAACCTGGTGATGTCCATTGCCACTACCAGTCTCCAAAGCAGTTAATCCATAAATATCTTGAATGTTAATATCTGGATCTTTACTCAGTAATAGTTCAACAACCTGCTGATGTCCATTAGCACTAGCAACCATCAAAGCAGTAAATCCTTCATTACTTTGAATGTTAATATCTGGATCTTTACTCAGCAAAAGTTCAACAACTTGGTGATCTCCATTGGCTATAGCAAACATCAAAGCAGTTAATCCATTTTTATCTTGAATGTTCAAATCTGGATCTTTACTCAATAACAGTTCGACAACCTGGTTATGTCTATTGGAACTAGCAATCATCAAAGCAGTTAATCCATTATTATCTTGAATGTTCATATCTGGATCCTTAGTCAGTAAGAGCTCAACAATCTGGTGATGTCCATTAGCACTAGCAGCCATCAAAGCAGTATATCCATCATTTTTTTGAATGTTAATATCAGGATTTTTACTCAGTAAAAATTGAACTGACAAGAAATTTCCTTGTTCACTAGCACGAATGAGGGCAGTATTACCATCTTCTTGATGTAAATTAGGTATTAGTTCTTCCAGTACAGCCTTAAGTCCAAACATTACATTTTTTCCCATCATAATAGGAATATCATCAATCATAACTTCAAATACACCAATTGCATATAAGGAAACTCTCTGTTCAAAAACTGCTTCTATTAATGATTCAGTTTGTGATGATTGAGGGAAGAAATATATACAATGAAAGCTGGAGGCATCATAATGGGTTTTTATGAGGTTTACAGACAATAAAATAGGTGATAAATAAAAATTTTCTAATTTATTTAACTCAGCAATTGTCCTGGAGCACCATGGCTTCTTGAGTCTTAAAATTAATTTAGAACAGCCAACAAAACCATCAGGACAAGGCATTCCTCTAGTCATCATTGCTAGCTCCAGTAGGCTAGTGGTATTTTTGAATATCTTGAGGTTAGTATTGTATTCTTCTACCTGTTCCTTGATAGGTTCTGTGATAGTACATGGTATTGTGAGAAGGTTAATGTTTAAACACGAGTAATGAGGCTGGAGCAACTGTACTAGTTGATGAGCATTTTCGCAAGTAGCATCTTCTTTGATATATAATTGAAACTTTCGCTTTGCTTCTGTTACCGAGGCTTTGCTGGTCAAAAGATCGGTGGCTGCATCAACAAAGCTACTGTTTAATGCATGAAAACAATCTTGCAGCAATTGAAACTTTCTTTTAATTTTATTTTTAATGACATTCATGAATGGCTCATAAAAATAACTACTCACTCCTCTTTCTTTAACAGCCATTTCCAGCATGTCTTCAACTGAAGTGTCATCTTGTGGTTTAATTCTTTCTCCTCCAATTGATTTGTATATATGCTGAGAGAGAGCAGTACATGCTAAATAGTTTAATCCAATGTATCCTTTATTGGCTGGTAGTTGTACAAATGGATTAGCACCATTTTGTAGTAATGATTTGAAAATTTCAATGTGTCCACCTTTACTAGCTAGCATTAATGCAGTCTGACCATTAGTGTTCTGGTAATTTAATTTTATTCCAAGTTTTATCAGAAGTAATGATAATCTGTGATATTCTACACTGCTTTCAATACTTGCAATGGACAGTAGAAGTGAT